GGGAGTCAGCATGCTGCATTAGACTTGGCCTTGATCTTCCAGTTCAAGTTTCAGAAAATGTATTTTTAAATAACCAGAATTAAACCACAGTCAGAGCTTTCAAAGAATGTGTATTTGTTCCAGGATATTGACTATTTCTCCAGAGCTAACAGAATGTAATTGTTTTCCAACAGTGCTTGACAGATGAATTCCAGGTTCACACTCCTGAGCTTCCTCTCACTGCAGAAAGGTCTAGATCTGGTTTTCCATTTTGCTTTAATGTAGCTACATGATTGTGCATCTTTGCAGTCAGGACTCCTAGTGAGCAATATGCAACCAGCTTTTTAAAAAGGAAAAAAAAAAAAGACTACAGGATGCCACAGTTATGTGATACAAGACCTTTTTTGGTTGTCAGACTCAAATGCGCAACTTCTGAAACATTCTCAGCTCTGCCAGTCCAGAAAGAATGGAGAATTTTAAAAATTATACACTGACTTCAGCAAGCTGATATTTATCATGGTAAGTCTGCAGTTGAGTCTATACTCCAGAGTACAGAAACTGCATTCCATTGTTGTCTGCTGACCTAAAAATCACCATTAAATGTAGCTTTAAGACTACGAGATAAAGAAAGGCATCGTTAAATCTGAAGTGTCACTAAAAGCAAAGCTATACATCACATCCAAGCTACTTCCTGCACTGTGAGTTTCAAGTTAACATTGTTAGACTCAGAAAAATTCTGACAGATGGAAATATTATTTAGTGCCTCGCTGTTTCCTGCGACAAAGTGTCAGCTGCATTATCATTTTCACCAGAGTGCACTACAGAATCTCATGGTTCACATCCAGTTCTGGCATTATGCTTGGTCCCAGCTGACTTTTCATTGCTATTTCCTATGTAAGAAAAATCCATTTGTAAGCTGAAGTGTTTGTACACTACACTTGGTTTATAGTTAGACATCTGCTAGAGAACTGCACCAATTTATTACTCAATGATTTATAACTGAAGGTAACCAAGTTCACAGTCAAGCTCTCCCTCAAAGCAGTAATGAGTACAACAAACTCCATGCACCACCTTCACCTGTCCAACTCGTTTCTTACCCCTGGAGACTGGGCTGCTCAGGGGGAGCCCTCTGGTTCCTTCTCAGTCCTCGAGCAGCTCACGTGTTAAGCAGAATAACCTGACACCACACTGAAGCCAGAGCAGGAATGGCAAAGCCATGTATCAGCAAGAAGGTGCACTCATGAACCAGGTGCTGACTGCCCAGCCACCCTTCAGTCAGAGATCACGAGGGACAGGAGGGACACAGCTCACACCAGAACATGTTTTTAATCACTACAAACACCTTCATAGTACCAGCTCATAGATGGTGCTTCTTTAAGATAGACCAGAGCCAAGATAAAAGAGGGAAGTCTTCAGATGCCTGCCAAATACACAGCCCAAAAGAGCCCCATTTACCTCCACATCATCAAGCACATTCCTATTTGAAAAGTTACTAATTTGAATAACCCAGAGCAATAACTTTAGACAGAAGATTTTGCAGTCCAGCAAGTGACTGCACCGATCTGTACTGCTCTGTACATCAGCAGTTAAATTACAGTCTTGATTTAAAACCACTCACAGGGGCTCAGAGGGATGACACAACAGCACTCAGATTTGGCTTTTGCAGCCAACTGTGTGACTTGCTGCTTCTGGCATATGAGTATTACTTTGCAAACTCAGAGCACCAGGGAAAGGCATCACATCTTAGCCACAACATCACCTGAACTGGACAGAGGTGACAAACTCACTGCTCAAACGTAACTTACAATGAACACTTTTGTCAATGTCCATCTACTTAAAAACCCTTTAATTAGCAACCCTAACTACTATTTTAGTCAATTTATGAGATGTGCTAATGACAACAGTAGGAGGCACACTTGACTCAGAATAACTAGAGCTGAGATGAATACATACAAAGGGAATAAAAGCATTTGAAGGCCAACACTACACTAACAATTTCCTTGCAGCAACTGAAGCTGAGCGCAGGCACGAAGCAATAGCTGCTGAGCTCTTCACAGCAGGGCAGGTATTTCACATCTGAACACCTGCACACAGTATTTTAAAATAAGTTCAGCTACAATTTGCTTCATATGGACAGGTCACAAGGTGAACTAGGGTAGTCCATCAGTCACACCTCTGTTGGGTTTTTGTTACATTCAACAAAATTGGTTCATCTTCCGCAGATCCAGAAAAAATGAAGTCTTGGCCAGGACCTTGGCTTGCTGGAGATACTAAGAACATCAGCAGGCCACCCAGTCAACTTCAGCTCTTCCCCCTTCTACTTCCTCCACAGTTCAATTTATCTAGCAGAAGGGACAGTTCAATTACAAGGCAATTCAAGAGCTTGAGGACATGAGCAATATCCTCCACAGTTTCACTAACTTGGGAACACAAGCTGCATTTCACATTTCATAAACAGCATCTAAACTTCCTTTGAAAGGAAGCATAGTCATAGTCTCAGGTTTTGATCTTCATTGCTACATAGCACATACAAGAAAAAAAAAAAAACAACCAAGCATAGTTGCATTATTCAGAATTTAAAAGTCATTCTGCCAGACACCAACACAAAATCTTCAGCAGTGCTATTTAGAAGACTCTGGGGAGGTGGGACACCTCAGATGCCTACGCAGGAATATAGAGAAAAACTGCTATTGTTGAGGAACATTATTTCAAGATAATTAAAAGCAACCATCAGTTAGTTATGGTTACTGTAACACAGCATGGAAAAAAAAATCATTCATGTTTCCCTAATAAAGTGATTATGCTTTGAAGGTTCACCAGTCCTCAACCCATGGCATCCTAAAAAACCAGTAACATCTAAGTTTCAGTTCATCTTTGTGAATGCAGATTTCATTTTGATACAAATCATGCATAACAAATACCAACCCATCAACACTTGTATTTTTCTATATAAGGGGATATACCTACCATCCCAATAAATACCAAGTTCCTCCTTCTCTTCCTAGTCACAAACAATAAAACAGGACTTAAAATATTCTACTAGCTGTAGAGTCTAGCTCCTTCAGCAAATACTTTTAACAGCTATAAAATGAACATTCCCTTCTTAAACTTGTCGCTTTGTATTGTCTCCTGAGAGGAAGAACACAGCCTTTGGAATCAGGGCTGAACTTAACCCACAAGGCACTCCTGCAATGCAGTTCCCCTCTGAGCAATACATCAAGCATTTCCCCCTTGCAAACATTTCCATTCATGCTTTTTGCAACTTGTCTATTTCAATACTACTCATTCAATTCACCAATCAAGTGAAGGGCCAGCAACATGCCCTTTAAAAATGAGCTTCTTCACTAAATTCCTTCAAAGGTAGTGATTCTTCAGATGGTTTGTCCACATGGTACTGATGAAGATTAAGACACTTCTAGAGGCAACATTAGTGAAAAGCAACTGATGCCAAGCTGAGGTTAGCTTCTGATCACTAAGTGTAAAGATTAAAACACAGAGATTAAAGTCACAGAGCTCGAAAATTGAAAAGATTAAAATTTCAAATAAAAGTCGTATAATTTTGATGGGTTATTAATCTCCTCACAGTTCAAATTGCACGAGTAAAGGTTCAGCAGAGCCCAATGTTTGATCATTTCACTTTTAATTTAAAATCAATGCTGAAACAGACCACCACAGCAAGTATGCAGCTAGCTAGGAGGAGCAGGGCATGCAGAAGGGTCACAAAGAAAAGTGGAAGCTTTCTTCCACAGTTAGCAAGCACAGAGTAACGGCAATAACATAACGAACCAAGAGACTGGTAGAATGCTTGAGCAACCATCCAAAAGCAAACATGAATTTAAATTAAGAAATCTTTTAATAAATTCCCTCAGCTTGACTGGAACAGATATGTAAGTGTTTTTGAGAAAGTTCTGATGCAGTTACTGCAATCAACCATTTGTGAGTGAGCCACTGACTGCTTAAAAACCATACAAAGAGTTTTGGGATTTTCACCCAGCGCTGTTTTGTCTGCCCTAAATTGGATGGGAACACAAACAATAATAAAGATGTACTACGTGAGTCCTTCTACAAACTGCACCAAAACCCAACACTAAAAAACAAACACTAAACCTTTTACCTTAACTCCGAGGCTTTGAAAACAAACCAGCACACCAGGTATTTGTTCCTGGTACTCCAAGCTCTTCCCACTTCTTTTCAGGTTGTTGCACAGCAACCTGCGTCTGTTACACAAGCTCTGACTCGCAGGGAACACTAAGGGTGTTCTTGCCATCCTCAGACTGGGCTCCTACACAGCTCTGACTCTACTCGGTCTAGGAACTCGATCAAAGAGCAGCCTCTTAGCCCAGTTTAATCCTCCAGTCATCTAGAAAGGCTAAACTTTAGGGCGTTTTCTAAAGCTTCAGAAAGAAGATCGTTTCTTTCTTTCCTTGTCCCTGTTAACAAGTACGAACCCTGGAAGCTGGAATGAAAAATACAGCTTTGCAAAACTAAATGGTGTGATACACTACACGACTTGTGTGTATTCTACAGTTATCTATCCCACAAGAATCCTCTGCCACTACCTATGAAATGTCCATGAAATTATCGTTTTCACATTTTTTCCTAAGAAAAGCACCTAAAAAAAATTCTGAAAAATTAAGGGTAGTTAAAGTCAAGTCAACATTCACTTACACGTCTTCCCTCACCCTCCCTGAAGCTGCACACAAGTGATTTTACAATCCTCCAAGCTACCTTTTGGAGGCATAAAATGCAAGACGCTATACGAAACAGAACTGTAGCTCGTTTTGTGATGATAAAGCTAAAAGACGCTTCAGAGAGCGCAGTAATTAAAATAATTAAAAGGCAAACTGACTCTCTGGAAAGGATGCAGCTTTCTTCCAAAGGACTGCCTCAGGTAAGGTCTGCAGTTCCTTCCGAATTAAGTAGACCTCGAGCTGATGGGTTTTACCCCCTTCGAGCACAATGACTAGCACCTGGGAGAGTGACTGCGCTGTGATAATTCACATTTTTTTTACTTATTTTACCTGTAGCTCGCACCAGGCAACTTCCACAGTGGTTTCAGTATCCAGTCCTTTATACACAGTTTTGAAAGAGCCTCTTCCAATCTCGATGTCAAACTTCAGGAAGCGGCCATCCGGGGAGATGCCCACCGCCTTGGTCTCAAGCTCTTCGATGTCTTCCTGCTGCGTCCTCCGCTCCTCAAATTCCCGGCTGGCAGCTGACAGGCTGCCGGCGGCGCTGGTAGGGGGTAGCGCAGTTGCCTCATCCCCCTCCTCCTCCTCCTTGGGCAGCAGCGGGGCGGCATCCTTGGCGGCCGGGGGCTCCTCAGCAGCCTGTCCTTCCAGGGGGAGCGGGGCG